CAATGATCATGGCACAATTAATGCAAATAATCAGAAGAATTAATGCTTGCTTTTAAGCCCGGTGAGAGCAGGCAAAATGAGGAAGGTGCAGCATATCCCCATGGCAGAGGGCTCAGAGTTGCTCGTCTTACCACAGCCTGTGCAAATGACCTGTGATACACTTGTTTACCGCAGACTCAAGCATGACTAGCTTTTCCCTGGAGCCACGGAGGTTCACCTCTGGGCCCCTGTGGGAGAGCCTGTTTCTGAAGTCCTCCGTGTGCGAGACTTCTTACAGTGACCTTGGTGTACCAGCGTAACCACGCTGCTGCTATTCATTTCTGAGACTGCATGGAGATAAGGCTAAGGTGATTAGTTCCAGAGGAGTTGCCGAGGCTTCTGGTTGGTTGGCATAAACTCTGAGTCATCTTCATGAAACAGAAGTGACAGTCTTCTCTTATCCCCTTCAGGATGCTGGATTTAAATATTTTATCTTCCTGAATAATATGTTAAGTGCTTTGGGAGAAAAAGACCCTCCTCTGTTGTAGTGGGGAGAAAGGCTGGAGTTGTATTATTTCTTGATGGATAATACCTTGTCATGTGCTGGGAAATATGCTTTGTCTGGTCATGATGTTTGTGTGGGCTTCTTAGTATCACAAGAACTTGGTGAGCAAACTGATTCAGTAGTATCATTACCTTAATAAAGATGAGAGAGTTGTGCTCTGCCCTACTCCCATCCTTCCTCCCGAAAATGTGAGCTGCACAACACGGGGAGTCCTTACAACGTTAAGTCTACTTCAGTCCTTTCATTGTCCATATATAATGAAGGTCCACGGAGGCAAATAAAATGTCAGGGCCTGTAGCAAAAAAAAAGCTATATTCCCTTCATTCTGGGGTACTGTCGGCATTCGGAAAGAAGGAGAAAGTACACTGAATATATTATTTAATGAAATAGACACACTGAGTGCACGCTTGTTAAAATATTTTAAAATATGCAGCTTGGGGTAGAGTTGTAGCAGAAAGGACTTGGATTCAGGTCACCTGCCTCGCAAGCCAGCTCAGTGTTCCCCAAGCCTTGGTGGTTCTCAGGTTGAGCTTTCAGGATGGGTCTTAGAGTTGCCCTGATCAGTTTCAAAGTATGTACTGCCCCCACCCTCATCTCCCACCTTGGCCATCTGTCCTTCTGCTCTCTGTTCCATTTGACAAGATTTTTCTTGTGGTGACAGAAAATTGCAAACAGAACTTCATCCCTGGTTTTACTTCAAGGCCTTCCGTCCCATGCCCAGCATCCCTTGAAGCTGCTGCTCCCAACCCCCACGTCATCACCTCCTGATTCCACGGTGTCTCCGTCTCCTTCTAAAAATCCAAGGACTAGCCCACGGGTTCTCAACCACGATTATACTTGGTTTCCTTGCTCTTGGAAAATCTGATTCCATAGATCTGCCGTGGAACCTGGGCTGTATTGTAACTCTTCTGGTGATTTTAATGCAGCGTTTTACCTGACCAGTCATTTGCAACCAATACCCAGTATTTTAGTGCTTTTCAAATGGATCGTGCATACCAATCTCCTGAGAATCTTGTTACGAGCCAGATTCTGATCCAGTAGGTCTCGGGTGGGCCCTGGAGTCTGCATTTCTAATAAGCGAGGCTCCATTCCTCCTCTCACTTGCCTTAGAAAACATCTTGGAACAGTCTACTCTGTTGTACTTTTGTGTCCAAAAATCTCTATCGCTGGCATTAGAATGCCAGGTTTTAATATTTTATCCCCCTGTTTGGAGACCACGGGTGTCCTTGCCAAGAGAGCTGAGGAAAAGCGTTTGTGTCAGCAAGCCTGCCCTTTCCTTTACTGGAAACCGTCAGATGGCCTTCATCATTGTGGCTGGTATCTGCCTCTGCCTCTACTTCCTGTTTCTGTGCTTCATGGTGTTTCAGGTGTTTCGGAACATCGGTGGGAAGCAGTCCAGCCTGCCGGCCATGAGCAAAGTCCGGCGGCTGCACTACGAGGTGAGCAAACCTCCCGGCTCACGTGGGACCTGGTGACTCAGGAGCTCCTGCTTGGTGTGTAAACACACACCACACACCACACACCTACACCTGGAGATGAGAAGCCTTTATTTCAGATACATATGGAGGGATTCTCCTGTCACAGAAGATGTCTGGGCAAAATAAGAGGCTAACTCTGACTCTGAGAAGCATCTAGCTGGCTTGTGTCGATCTTGGAGTTTTCTGTGGTCTATATATGTCTTTCTGTCCTCAGAAGGGGTGAACTTGTTCAGCAGGTTCTTCAGCTTTGGGATGGAATGTGGGTGATACTAGATGGGAGATTTGATTAGGGTGGCATCAGGGCTTTGGCTGGGGTGAGGCTTTAGGTAAGGTTCCCTTGCTGAGAATCAGCCTGGAGCCTGGGCTTCAGCCCAGGTGATCTGATTTTTTAGACTCAGAGAGGCCAGATTTCCCCTAAAATATCCAGCAGGTGATCAAATAGAATTCAGTAATCTCTGTTTATAGATTATGTGCTTCATTCAAGGGAAAACACTCAACATCCTCCGATCTCTTAATGCAGGCAACACATTCTTAATTTTTCAAGGATCCCTTGGATTCATGCCTAAGTGGCTGTCCCTGGAGACATGGGCCTAATGCCTCTTGTGAAAAGAAACAGAAACTGCAGAACCCCAGGGTTTTTATATACAGTGGATCTGCAGCTTAGAGCCCCCAAGTAAGAGGTGTCTTTCCCTGAAACACAGGTTTCCTTAAATCCTGCTCTCAGGAAACCCTGGGCACTTTCTGAAGCTTTGCATGTCTCTAGAGCTGGAGTGACACATGAGAAAATTCAACCAGATCCACTTCATGTTGATTAATATGCACATTTCTTTTTGTTCACTGGAGCAGAATTTTATTACAACCACAGAAAACTTGGATTTGGTGACTTTGAACCCTTGCAGAGAAGCATAACCAGCTTAGCAGGGAAATTAGCAGCCTCACAACGTGCCGTGAATGTAATTTCCCGGGCTCTGGTATCACTGTTTCATGAGAGATAAGAACATAAGAAATGTTTGGCCCAATAAATTTTTCAGTCACCTTCACCTCTGTAGGAGAAATGTTACTATATGAAATTATTTTACTAGTCCCTCTTAGGGATTTTGTTTTATAGATATTTTTTTTAAATTGTTTTTTTACAGAGTTATATCTTGAGAAAAGGATTGGTGCTAGCTGGGAGAGTGGTAATCTACTCTTTCTCTCCTTCCCAATAGGGGCTGATTTTCAGGTTCAAGTTCCTCATGCTGATCACCTTGGCCTGTGCCGCTATGACTGTCATTTTCTTCATTGTTAGCCAGGTAAGTGGACCCTGAACCGCGTCAGGGTGACAATGTCCCTGGAGGGGTGCCTCCACTCTGCACAGAAAATTCTAGAGAGCTGCTGAGGAAGGAGCAGGGAGGCTGTAATGCTGGGCACCTCTTCAAGCCATGTTTTTTAAGGTGCTCTACGCTGGGACTGAACCACCTGGCCAGAGGTGGATGGAATTTTCCCTTTCAGTATAGCCTCGTATGAGGAAGAAAGTTGCTACATAAATTAAAAGCCTGCAGCCAGATTGAAGGGCACTTATTTCATTTACTTAAGAGAATACACTTTTTAAGCCCTATGGCAGAACACCAACAAGCAAGTATTCATTTGACTTGATCTTTATCTAAGCATTAACGTAGATCCTTTTACAGTCCATCAGCCATTCTTTGTAATAATTATATTGCCACTTAAACATGAAATACAATTCAGAAGTCCCCTTGATAGACTCTTACCTTTCTGCTGGTTATTTCCAAAACTCAAAATGTTGCTATACTTGAAAACTTCAATAGTGGTAATAATTTTAAAATGTTGGTAACTGGCTTTGGAAAGTGGAAAGCACTGTTTAAACCTGACAGATGACCTATCTGCCATTCATTTGAGCTCCACAAAAATCCTGTGGGTGTAGGGTGGTTGGGGTGGTTATCTCAGTTGCTAGGATATGAAATCGAATGGCCTTAGAGACATTTCCCATTTGTGCAGTTTTCCAGCTGGGTGGGATAGTGGATGATTATTTAACATTTCTAAGGTTTAATTTTGCTCTCTGTAGAATGCATGTAATATTAGTATTGCCATAAAAGGGGGCCATAGGACCACAGGAAGTAGTGCCTGCAGAGTGATTTGCAGAGTGCCTGGCACGTTGTGGGCAGGAATAACCGTGCTCTTGTGAATAACAAAAGGGCTGAATGTTGTGCCAAAGGACATTCAGTAAGTTGGGGACCAGAACCCAGTCCTTTTGACTTTTTTTTTTTTTTTTTTGCCAACTGTTCTGTCATCCCTGTATTTGGCCAAAACTGAGAATGTTAGTGCAGATGGAGCCTTAGGACCGGACTTGTCTCACTGTGCTGGCTCGTTTCCCTCTAGTAGAGGGGCTCCTGTGCTTTTTCTGTAGCATAGATCCCGTGGGCAACCTGCTGGAGGCTATGGGTGTCTTCGTTGAATGTTTTTAAATGAGTAAAATAAAGTACTTTGGATTTCAAAGATATCTGCAATTACACATGTTACAGATGTTTACAGATACGTATCTATAATTGTAATTGATAGGAGAATGTCATGATTTTATGGGTCACAAAATTACAGGTTGTGCTAGTGCTAATATTAACAGGACTTTGTTTTCTACATTTATAATTGAAAGAAATGGTAACTTTCATATCATAAAGATACAGTTTTTCTCATTCCAGTCCATGGACCTCTTGAACTTGATGCAGGGACACCCAAGGGTGCCTCTGACCCACGTTAGGGGCCTCTAGAGACATGTGGGCTCTGCCCACTGGGCAGTGTGAGTGTTGCTGTTGAAGGCTGAAATGAGTGTGGAAAACAAATAAAACAAATAATACATATCTGTCTTCGAAAAGTTCTGCTTACCACATCTGCTGTGACCTACACCACTGCTGTGTTTGTATCAGACTGCTTGTTTATAAAACCGAGGAAACTTCAGTCATCACTCCAAATGCAGTAACATATTTCCAATTCTGAATGAGTTTTTTATTCACCCAGCTGAGGCTCAAACAAGGGTGTCTGAGGGCTGACTTATCCTTTGGCTGGTTCCTTCATGTGACCCGAGTGTCCAGTCCTCCAGTGCCTCGGTAACTCACTGGGACACTCAATATGGCCAGTTGGAGAGTCCGAGAGAGCAGGGCACACTGCTTGGAGAAACAGAAGCGTCAAGTAAGCTGGGCTGAGAAATGAAAGGCAGTCTCAAGATACGTTCTCAGGAAGGCAGAGACAAAGGGCACTTTGGGTCTTAACTTGTGTCTCTGCCCCCTCAGGAAGCTGCCGCCACGCTCCCACAGCCCCATGCCACTTACGCACCTGGCTCTGCAGAGAGTCCCTTCCAGGTGAAGTCCAGAAGGGACGGCTGCTGATCTTGAAGGCAGCCACATGTTGCCCGAATGTAGCCTTGTCTATGTTACATAGTGCACCGTTTTCAAGCAAGGGAGGCCAGTTCTTCCAAGGAGCAGAGTTTGTGGCTTTTCTTTGGAGAAAAAGATTAATATTCCATTTGCCCCAGTATTTTCTAACACGGCTCCAGACTGTGGCTGGCTTTTTATATCTGCCGCAGCGACAGTCAGCCCGGAGTGGATTTCAACTCCAAGGGGGTAGCAGCGAGTTCTTTTGGATTCCATTAGCTCCTCACATTCCTCCTGCTGGGTTATTTTTTTAAGGTTTATTTATAGATATCTAAGACGTTTTCAGGCATAACTCTCGATGTCCCAGGTACTGTACTAATATAGTCATCAGAGGATTTATTTTTTAATGTCATTTTGGAATGTCTCAGCAATGAGCTCACCTGAAAGAAAACCTATTGGGTAACTTTTTGAAATAGATCCCAGCCTTAGGTGAAAGGAATGTATTAAAACTCCCATTATACTCTCGGGCTTGCTGAGAGAGCTTGCATTTAAGCCCCATGAAATATAATGCAAGGGGATCTCGCCAGGATATTGAAGCTCTGAGGCCAGGAATGAAGGGCCCACAGGAAGCTGTGGAATGCAGTGACCTTGAGGCTTTGTAGCTGGGTCCTGAGGGGCAGTCTTTTAATGCCTGCCATTTTAATGGCCTCAGTCATAGCAACCAAGAGATGGTACATCACAGTCTGGTATTATAGCCCCTTCCCTCTGGAAAAGAAAGAGGCGTTCCGTTTAGAGGTGGCAGGCAGTAGGGAACAGAAGTGCAATGCAGGGGAGAAGGTCACCAACCTTCACTAAGGGGACCCCCAGGTGCCTGACATTCAGGTCAAGCCACATGCAGCAAACTCCCAGAGAGCCTGTCCCCAGCTCTTTTTTGTGTGTGTGATCACTTCATTCTGTTACTCACAGAGGAAATGTTTCCAGTAAGAGAGCCTGTGTCTGGGATTTGGAAATCTTGTTGTTAAGTGGAATGTTGGTTGTCAAGACTACTGGGTGTAAAGGGATTTGACCTTCACTTGGCTCCAGGGGTATAATTGGGTGGTTTTACACAAAAGTAAATTGTTCAAATGTTAAATCAGGAAAAACAGGGACTTTTAGAAATAAGACTTAGGCAGAGGGAAGATGATTTTCTTTTTTTTCTTTTTTCTTTTTTGGTTAGGGCTATCTGATTTTTTCCTCCGGAAGTTAAAATGGGGTGACTGTCACCTCTCTGCTTTAGCACTGATAAGATTTCGGATTGACAAGGGCCGCTCTGTTGAGGCTGCTTACTGTGGTTCATGCTGGTGGGAACGTGCTCAGAACTCTGGAGGTCCCAGGCATGAATAACCGAGAGAGGAGACGGGCACGCACCCACAGTCAAGTGACTCTCTGTATACAGCTCATCTATGCAAACGCAACTCTCTGCCCTCAGCAGGAAATAATACATTTAGGGATTACAAATTAAATAGTATGGGTAATTCTGCAGGCTTATGCCAAACAAGGTGCAGGGGCATGAATCTGCTAGTTCCTCAGGCCGTCTGAGCACCTCTGTACCCCTCATGGCATAAGCATCTCATTTCAGTGCTTCTACTGTAAAGCTGTATTTTGCATATAGATCCAGTTTTGAATATCCTATATTACTATGTCCAGGATATATAGTACATCGATATTACTCTATGGATTTGAATATGCAAACCTGTGTATATATACACTATAATAATTTGCATTATGGTTAATTAAGTGAATTTTCAAAGGAAATTTGATCTTCCACAGTAGTTGCTCCATTTGCTAACTTAACAGACTCACCACTGTTTAGGATAATATTCCTACTCTTATATTGCATAATGGTTAAGAATACCTTCTTTTGAAGTCAGAGCCATGACTTTCGGACTGAGCAATCTTGGGCAAGATCATGTACCTCACTGAGGCACAGTTTTTCCCTGTGTTGAGTGGAAATATTACCTGCCAACCTCATAAAGTTGTTATTTTTATTTTTTAATTTTTTTTAAAATTTATTTATTTGAGAGAGATAATGAGAGAGAGAGAGAGCACATGAGAGGGGGGAGGGTCAGAGGGAGAAGCAGACT